CTGACAGGCTCAATTTAGAGTGGCTGACACTGAACTGACCTCATACCTTCATGCTCTTTTATTCCAACAAACATTTTAAAAACAATTCAAAATCGTGCAACTGCAATTCTTCAAATGGCTTCTTGAGGCTGGCTCCAGATGCCAGTCAGTCCCCATAGGCCCCCATGTCAATATGCCCAACTTTACAGCAAAAATAAACATGTTTACAGCCTGAGTGAATTGTTATACATAACTCTCCCATTTAAATGTTATTAAAGTTTTATATCATATTATCATATTATATTAGTAGTAGCAAAATAGGCCTGAGAAAATGGCAACTGGGTGTCTGTTTAATGCTATGCAGACGATACACAGCTTTATCTTTAAGGGTGCTTTCACACCTGCGCTGTTTGGTTCGGTTCAGTCAAACTCAAGTTCATTTGCCCCCTAAGTGCGGTTCATTTGGGAAGGTGTGAAAACAGTAATTGCACTCGAATGCACACCAAAATTAAGAGGTGATCTGGGTCCAGTTAAAAATGAACTCTGATACAGTTTATTTGTGGTGAGAATGTGTTCCGACCTCGATCCGATCCAACTGCAGTCACATTAAACATTGTTTGGGTTAAACATGAGCATGTTACAGTCCTGGAGGATTATTAATGTGCACCTCCTCCTGTACTGCCTTAATATGCACATTCAGCACATCCAATGCATCAAAACATTGTTTTCTAGTTGGAGCCGCGCCTCGTTTTCAAACTGTATGGTTTGACTAAAATGAACAATGACAGCAATATAGTCCACGATGACCAGCGCTAAAATCAACCTGCGTAGTTGTCCCTCCATTGTGACATTAGTAAGTGTCACATTTATCTTGCAAGTGAACTCTTCTTCAACGTTTTGTTTACTTCCTGGATTTTTCCCACATGGAAATTCTGACCAATCAAGAGCAGCTTTCTCACGCAAGGCATTGATCTGGTCCGCTTGTAAATGCTGCCGTGAGAACACTAACCAGCTCTAGGCAATTATGCAACTTTGGAACAAAATTAGTCCCCTAACACCCTAAATGTCACCTGTTGATGTAAGCCTCCTCACATGTTGTAGTTGTATTGATGCTGTAGCTATGAACCAAGATTTCTTCTATTGTACATCTGAGCAGGGACAAAACAACAAGCATCTGGACCTGATCACGAGCACTGTAGTCTACATTAACTGTGTCACATGCAAGTACTTTACCTTTGAAGACATTTTGCCAAAGTGATACAGAAAATATACAATGTTATTACCAGCAGTCTTAGCTTGATATTTGTATTTCTCTCCTTTCCACCCTGCAAAAGAAAACTCTTGGTGACCTGAAAATTGTTCGAAATTCTGCAGCAGATCTGCTCACAGAGCCCTGAGATCATCTCAAAGGTCCATATGCTGTTTTTCAAATCTGTAAACACCTGGGTGCACTGAATGTCAGACATGCTTTTAAGATATTGGACCCTTAGATCCACGGGCAGAGACCTTTCAGCTGTACCAAGTGTGAGATGTGTGCACTATGGGAAGGCTTTTTAGTTTTTATCATTGGTACCTGTGGAACAGTTTTCCAGTGGACCTGAGGGCATCGGTCTGTGGACAGTATTTCTGTATAGTTTATTCTGTTTTTTCCAGCGACAGGCCTCTAAGAATCCTTGGTGTTTTTCTTTCATTTTAGCTGTAACATCACAGATTGATTTGATTTTCCTAATATAGCTGCATTACTGCAATCGGTGAAGCGGGTCCTAAGAAATGCGGATATAAAATAATAATGATAATGAAAAAATAACATGTAGTACTTTGTTCTCCACCTCTGGCCTTAGCTGCCTTGTCTCAAGACAGTCCACACAGCAGTCGGTCGAGTCACAGCATACCCCCAGTGCTGAGGGACCTTTTTTCATAACAAAACGATGGATTTTCACACCACTTCTAAATCCAGACCAAGCTAAAGAATGGCCTTTTATATATAGTTTTCATCTCACAGGCAGACAACAAAATAACTCTTGGACTGAAAAATAAACTCGTCTTTGTGATTTGATCTGCCCACTTTGAGTCCCTTCCTATGTGTGTGTATGTGTGTGTAAGGATCTTTAAGAGCACAGGTGATTTTAGAGTTTTATACAAGTCTCACTTATAGATATAGACGTTTCACTGTAATCTCAAACTCGCCAGCTTTATTAGCTCTGTTTGGTGAAGAGTTTGTGGCTCCACTTTTGCAGTTTGTTCACACTTTCATGCCACTATGACACAGATAAACAATTCAAATATAAAATGCAAAGGCACGGATGTCACTGGGTTACATCAGTTTTACTGAAATCCTCAAAAGTTTTGAGATGCAGGGTTTGTGCGACACATCAATGTAATGCTCTCAAAGTGATTTATAACGCTTGTCTCTTCTTGCTAGCCCGCATTGATCCAGGGAACCCCCGATGGGCTTCCTGAGGAGCATCAATACAGAGGAGACAAATGTTTTTATTTTGCTAATCATCTTCTCATTCTCTTTTAAAATGATTCCTCAAAGGCAACACAGAGAACATAAAGGCACGAGAGATAAAGGCTGGTCATCAAAAGCAGCACTTCGGGGTATGTGTAACCCAGATTTCTTTTCAACTCTGATCATTACAAAATTTCTCTGGAGGTCACATTTTTGTTCCTCAACAAACTTTATTTACAAACTTATTAACAAAGATACATAAAGAATAAAATGATGTAACATAACAGAATAATAAAACAGGGCTGGTAGGCCAGTGATGTCACCTGAAGTTGTTTTAAGAGACAAACTGGTGTTAAAGGGCAAACATTAAAAAAGGGGTGACTCATTACATCATAAAAGACATTGTGTGTGTGGTGTGTGGGAGACATAACCTTCAGTACACAGTAGCAGAGTATAGTTTTCAGTAGCCAGTAACATTTCACAGGAGAAAAACAGCCATCAAAGGAATATTTCAGTTTCATTTTACGACATGCACGCCAAACTCCCAGCACCTGCTCATCACAGATGAGCAGCTGCAGCTCCAAGGCCACAAATCTTAATGGCAAAAACATCACATTTTAATAGGCCTTATTTCACAGAAGACATTTTGACATGTCACAGTAGGAAAGCACAGGTGTAAATAATCAAATTAATGACTGGATTCCATTTAGCTGCTTCACTTTAAGGTACTGAGCATGCTGGGTTGCTGTCACACTGTCTTACTGGGACATGTAAAGAGAACAGGGGGTCATTAATGTTATTATTAACGCCTGTGCTTTTCATATTATGACAGGCGAAAATGAAATATCTGTTTAACACTGGTGGAGGAATGCACAAAGTCACAAGCATTACCATGTAAACCATATTTTAACACAAGCACTTGACCGCAAAACAGAAATAGCATAAAAATCTCTCTGTACAAGTAACAATATAATTTTTTTAAGATGGATTATGAATTATACAGACACATGCAGTAAATAAATTGGCACTGGTTTGGTGCATAAATGTAAAGTAAGACATCATGATTCAATTTTTCATATAGACTGAATCCCAATGTTTGTTTGCAATAACGTCCAGTTAGAAAACCCTTGTGTTATGTACATAAAATCAAATGGCACCAAGCAAATGCTGCCTCAACTGATTGGTTTTTAGCCACCTAAAAAATCAATATCAGTTTAAGTGTATGCTATATTAAGAATATTTTCACCGGTTTTACCTTGACTTCAGACAGCCCCAGATTGGGAACTGAAGCCATTATTTCAAAGCCAGCAGACTCTATTGACAACAACAGTAATTTTACTTCGCAGAACACAGAAGTTGCTGGTCCACCACTGTCTCGATCAGTTATGCCGGGTTCACACTACACGACATCTTTGTCTGTTCCGACCATCACTATGTCTGATCAGGTGATTGTGGAGTCATAAAATCGTGCCGTGACTTGACCGACAGACATGACAGACCACACGTTGGTTCACACCAATTATCCCCGGTCGTCTTTTACGACGTGTGATGTCATCAGGTTAGTCTTGTCCTATTTTTATTATTATTGCTATTATTTCAGTCACCGTGGCTGTTCATTTGCCCGCCAAAATGTTACTATAGTAACATAAAACGCACCACCAGATGGCAGGAGCTATATTTGAAGAACCGCACGCAAATTATACAAGTCACTGAATCCTCCACAACAAGTTCCTGCAAATGTTTCACAATAAAAGCCTGTTTTGAAAATCAAGGGATTATTTCAGCCAAAATTATATGGGGCCTTTAATTTTAAACAGTTACAGGAAGTGTTAAGTTTGAAAGACAGCACGATGCATTAACTTTAACAAGGCAAACAGGAGCAGATTAAAAGTAAAAAATACAACAAACACTGACTTTCACCTGAGAGAGCAGTGTTCGCATCCTATAAGTTTATGAAGCCAAACCTAACCACACGTTTTTGTTGCCTAAACCCATCCATGTGTGTTTGTTGTTGAAGGAAAAAAAAACAAAACCGCCAATTCGCGGTGTTGTACTGACATAGTGCGTTTTTGTTTTTTGTTTTTTTAAAGAGACTGTATGTAAATGGGGAGAGACTCCTATGAAAACAGAAGTATATTTTGAAAGAAGACAATGCATGTAACAGGCAGAACTTGACACGGTGTCCCAGAACATCAACAATCAACGCACCCAGGGTACCTTGCACACCGTATGTGGACGTGGAAATCAATATGTGACAATGTCGGAGTGAGAATGTGTTGGCAGTTGTGGTAAGTAAAATTCCTGCCTCTATTTTTTTATTTTATCACTTTATATCCTCCATTATAAAGAAATAACAATTTTTTGCTAGCTTGATGCTAATGGCAGTACTCAGCTGTTTCATGCCAGTATTCTTCCTTTTTTATTCTGACCTGGTAACGTCCCCAGAGGAAATATCAATAAAGCTGGAGTGCTGGGGCATCGGTGGCTTAGTGGTAGAGCAGGCGCCCCATGCAAAAGGCTGTTGTTGCAGCGGCCCGGGTTCGACTCCAGCCTGTGGCCCTTTGCTGCATGTCCTTCCCTCTCTTTCTCCCCCCTTCACGCTTAAGCTGTCCTATCAATTATCTATCTTTTATTTATCTGTCCTATCATAAAATATCTTAAAAAAAAAAAAAGCTGGTGTGTTGTAGACATACAATCATGGCAGCAGATTGCTCTGTGTTTCTATTGGTCAAAGTGACAGCTGTGACGGGAGAAGTCGTGAACGAAAAGAAAATCAAACACGCTAGACTTTCTGTCGGTATGTCATGAGGCATCCCAGCATCCCGGTTGTCGTCTACTTTGACACACTACATGAGATAAAACGATGGATTATCGCACATGACACTCACTGTTGTTCACGATCCAAGCCAACAACGTAAGACACTGCGAAATCGGGCTGATATGGAGAAGTGGAGAACAAATAATCCAAATATCATGTTCACTTACACTGATATTGATTTTTTTAGTTTAGCTATATACTTTTCAGTCACGGCTGAAAATGATGACAGAAATAAACAAGTCTGCCAATTGTCCATATCTCCACAATTGAAATCAATGGCCATTTGTCTACCTGGAAGTGATTGTTGTTGTTAGCCCAGTGTCACTGTGATTCAGTCTATACATCATAAAAACATTGCTACACTTGTATGCATGTGTTGCATTGATATCCCAGCATTTAATTTTTTTGTACAGCACATTTTGTATGTTACTGTATTTAGATGAGGCGCTGAACATTTTATAAATCATGTTCAGGGCTAACCGGCTGCATGTGCCCAACAAATTCTACATTTTATCATCATGGCATCTTCCCCGTCCTGTCACCCATTTTATGAAGACATCGTAAGGCACAGCTTTATCATGGTGGTCGTAAATATGCCAGCCCTTCATCTCAGTCTTCTCCTTGGCCGAGTTCCAGTCAGGAATGATCATTTTAATGGCCTCACGTCTTCCTTAAGGATATGTGTGTGGGGAGCTTGATAAGGGAGCAGCTGCTGATGGAAATCCTCACATTCTGGGTTGTTTTCAGTATTAAAAGCACCCCTGAAGCTGGTGAAAATCTAATGTATTTATCTCTCTCTCTCCCTCATCTCAGCGGCTCTAATGATCTTTGTGCAGCTGCATTCTCTCCTTCTCCACTTGGAGGCGTTCTCTCTCAATCTGCAGTCTGCCAGCCTCAAATTTGAAGAACTGCAGCCTCTCTTTCTCCAGCTGCAGTCTCTCCTTCTCCAGTTTTAGCCTCTCTGTCTCCAGATTCACTACTGGCATCCAGCCTTGACTTTCTTTCTCTCTCTCCCTCTGCCCATCCTGGGTGGAGGATAAAGAAGGCGTGGAGGACGAGGGCGGGCCTTGTTGTGGTGGTAGGTTTAAGGAGGAGTCAGAATGCTCTGAATGACTGAGGAGCAGAAGCCTCAGCCTCTCCCTCTCCACCTGTAACCTCTCTCTCTCCAGCTGCAGTCTCTCCCTCTCCACCTCCATCTGACGAAGTCGCTCCTTCTCCACCACCAGCCGCTCTTTCTCCACTGCCAGGCGTTCGGTTTCCACAGCCAGGCGCTGTTTTTCCAGCTCTAATCGCTGTTTCTCAACAACAACCAGAAAACCCGTGCCCATGTTGTCATGATTGTTCAGAGCACCCAGAGCATGGGCAGGCATCCCCATCATGCCACCAGCGAGGGGCAGGTCTCTGTTGGTGGTGGAGGTTGGGGCCTTGGAGGAGCTGAGCATGTCCAAGTCATTGTGGGAGTAAACATCACCAACGTGCCCCTCACCGCGTGACTCAATGTCACTGAGGAGGGAGGGGATATCATCTTCATCTATTTCTCCGTCTCCTATATCACCATCACCATCCAGCTAGAGGGAGAGTGTGACATAATTAAAGGAGCACTCCACTGATTTTACACAGAAAGTTTGCTCATCATGAGAAGTGCTGCTACTCAGCCTGTGAACAGCTGTATAATGAAGCTCTGGCTCTCCAAAGTCTGAGAAAATAGCCCTGGTGAAAGAAGATGAAAGGTGCAATCAAGCTGCATTATGGGAAATGTAGGATCCAGCGTTTTTGGAGCTTGACCCATAGAGACAAAAAGTCAGGATATCTAGGCGTCTGCAGCTTTGATTTTCTTTGTCTAGACAAGTAAAGTGGGATTTATACTTGTGCGTCAGCTCTATGCAGAGTCTACACCGTAGCCTTTGCACATGGCCTATGCTGTTGTGAGCATTTATACCTGTGCCGTGGTGTGTCTGTGTCACTCTGCAGTTACACCTCCAGAACACTAGTTGGCAGCAGGGTTTCTTTGAAGTGCTGTCAAGTTAAGTTGATTCAAAATGCACGTTAAATATGGGAAAAGCGACACACACACTTGTGTTCTGCTGGACACATTTTTCCCACAAATACAAAATGCTAATGTTATTAGCACAAGCCGATGGCATTTTACAATGTATAAATTAGCCTAGCAATGAGTGGAGATTTCCTCTACCCATATGAAGCCAGGATAAATCACACACAAGACTTAAAATGCTATTTTGTGGAGGCTTCATTGTCTTCACTATTTATTGCTTCTTATCTGAAATTAAAATAAATAAAAGCTTTGTTTCCACTGAGGCAAATGGTTTCAGCTTACAAAAAAAGACACGAGGTCTGTGTCGCTGCAATGTGTAGTTACATTTCTGGGGAGATGCAGGTCAATAGGCAATAGCCCAGGGTACGCATAGGCCTCAAACTGACACACACTGTAGGTACAACATTGATTTGATGCAGAAGTATAAATCCCACTTAATGTTACACAGTTCTTAAACTAACATCACTAAATACAGCTGTAAGATTTTCTGTGTTAGCACCTCAGGTTGGCTCTTACAGAGCTCAGTTTCCTCAGTGATTTACATAGCTAAACAATGTGACTCAAAATTACTTTTATAACTTCTGCAGATTGTCTGGCTGATACTATTAAGAATTTTAATAGACTGGACCCAGGTTAATAACCCTGTTAAGAAATAGGGTGGAAGATTTTTAGGAAGTAATTGTGGAAGGCTGTAACCACACTGTGAACAGATGACAGTTTTATCTGAGAGCAGAGCTTAATGCAATCACCAAAATGTAGCATTTAAATGTCAAGTTTAAATTAAACCCCAATGAAATAACGAGTCTATTGATCTTATTTGATCTCTACCGTGTGAACCTACATGAGCCCAATCAAAAGGCAGGATATAGGAGAGCCACTTGAGCTACATTATGTGCTGGTATAATTGCTGTGATATGTTATATAACTACCTCTGCTGATGAGGATATTAATTAAGCTAATTAACACATTAGAAAATACTTGCATGTCCATAAACTTGTCTTAACCTGAGCAGTGTTAATGTGTATCAAAAAGCATGAAGGTGTCAGGAAATTATTTTGTCCTCATTTACATGTTAATGTATTTAATAGGCTCTAAGGTTTAATCAGAATATCTAATCAAAGGTAACTGTACACACACACACGCACACACACACACACACACACACACAGACAGGCGCTACTGTGACACTATGATGCAGATGAAGAGTTTCTGTCACTTACTCTGTATTCACTGACATCGTCCTCCATCTTCACACCCAGCGGAGCCATCATGGCCTGCCCACTCGGCTCACCAAGACCCGTCAGCTCCGGCCAGTCGCAGTGGCAATCCTTCGAGAGCCCCGAAAGGTCAAGCAGCTGGTCACATCCCGATCCCAGAGAAGCTGCCTCATGCTCAGGGGAGGACTGATCGTACTCAGTCTTCAGGGGCACAGATGAGGATGAGGCGGAGGAGAGGGAGAGCTCAGCCCGGAGCTGTTTTCTCTTAATGAGTGCACGCCAGTCCAGGTAACGACGCTTCACCTGCACAGGAGATCAGGGGGGAAAGTGTCTGAGGTGTTATGAGTAAAAAAAAAAATATATATATATATATATATAAAAGTATGATTTGAACATATAAATAAACACACCTCGGCAGCAGTGCGAAGCTCTCCCTCCCCCAGTGCATTAACACTCCGTGCCACCTCCTCCCATGCCTGTCTCTTCAGCTCATTAATGGCTGTGTTCTATTCACACAGGAGAGAAAAACATTTAGATGGTTTTATTCTAACAAGTCTAACATGGCCTTTCATGAAGAAGGTGCAGTGTTGTGGGAAGTGACAGTGTACTTGTAGGTCTGTAGGAGAGTGTGAGCAAATGCAGGTTCCTGTCAAAATAACAGAAATGCCAGTTTTCCATTAAACATAGCAAAGCTGCCATGTCTGTAGGAGTAAATTCTTCTCTCGTGCAGCCAGAGGATCATTTTTGAGGCCAGTATCGAAATTTGAGATCCCCCCCCCCCCAATGAATATTAAAAAATGTATATTTAACAAGGAACCCTTCATTTTTTTATTTGTTTTGTTTGATTGTTTGCCTGATTTTTAAAGGAACTGTGACCAAGATGAGCACTGAGCTGGATACCATCCAGTTGGAAAACAGACTGCATCAGTGCTCTCTGGTGGACAGTGGAGATAATGGAGATACTGCTTCATTTTTAAACATATTTTGGGATTTCTGCGCTGCACTTTTGCTCTGCCAACATATGCAAGACCCAGATGATTGATTGATCATGGATGACTCTTTCTGACTCATCATGTGTTCATCTTTTAGTTGTGACTTGCTTTTTGGACGAACACGTCAGTTAATTGTGCCCACTCTTTTTCCTTAACCCGCTGGGGACTGAGGAGTCTCGGATTACTGTGATACTTTTGGCACCCTCTGATGTAGTTGTAAACTTTGATCGAATATAAGCAGTATTTTCAGAGTTACATGATTTTTTTGTACTCTGCACAAGTTCAGCTACAATAATAACTATGTAGAATGCATTTTGTGATTATAAAAAGTAAGGGATCCCTTTTATGTTATGGATTAAACTGACAATCTCAGACTTTATGGATATTTCTTATTATAGTCAGTGCATAACAATAATAGTTCAGAACAACTGATTAACTGTACAATTAACCCAATCAGTGAATGCAATAACTGCAGGACGTTTGTGCAAAACCAGCAATTTAGATTAATTTTGAGACTGGGAACCGAGAGGAGAGGAGAGGAGAGGAGAGGAGAGGAGGAAATCCACACCTGCTGTCTGGAAAACAACACATCTGTCCTCTTGTGGATCTCCCTGATGAGAGTCTGTGTTTCTCTCACACTGTAGTTGCTCTTCCTCTTCCTCTTCAGATGCTTCACCTGCAGGAAATCCAGCTTGACGGCAAGAAGGAGGGGGGACAGAAACCCCAGAGATACAGAGAGAGAAACAGAGACGAGGAGAGAAAACTTTGGGGGAGACAAGGGAGGTGTAGGTATGGAGGGAGCAATAGAAAAAATCAAAGGTATGACAATGGAAACGGGGATAAAAAGAGAGATCGATCACGAATCAAAGGGGGGACTCAGTCCTCGGATAGAGGGAAGAGTGGGTGTGTCTTGTAAAGGTTAGTTCATTTGCAGCAGTGTAGCTCTCCTTCACAAGCACAGGGGTTTTCATCAGGGAGGAATCCCTCAGTGGCTCCAGAAGTCCCGGTGTAATTTTCCACCTGGGAGCCTGATCCCAGCTATAGATGCCGGCTCTGTGTAATGGCATGTGAGGCTTGAATTTGTGGAAAAGAAGTGTGTTGCAGAGGTCACACCTGGTTGGCTGGAGGATTAAAAGCCTTCTTTTTCTTCCCCTGTGGAGGCTTCTGCCTTGATGAGGCCCTGATTCGATGTAGCTAAGGCCACAGAATATTAAGGCAAGACGTGCAAGGTTTTCCCACCTTTATTCCTCAGCCTGCACTGCTGCCAGGTGAGCGAAGGGCTCTGCAGTTTTCCTGTAAAACAGAGAATCAATTTGAACCTGAACTTTTGTTGGGTATGCATTTTTTATTTCTCCTAGCTATTTGGGATCAGTAGGACCCGATAAGTATAAAAAACTAAACATTGATAATAAAGTCCCAGTGTCCTCAAAGGAGATGACAATTAAGTCCCAAATGAGTACTTCCTAATTCCTAATTGTCTTAGCTTGTTGGTGTTGCTAAAATTGCTCAAATTTGTTGCCATATCAAACTACAAACATTCCTAATCATATATAAACAGGTTTCAACCATAAAATGTGATCAGGTTTTGGACTTTGTCCACTTTTGTGTCGGGATCAGCTGCAGACTGACTTGGCAGAGATGGCACAAACTAGATGGCACAAAGGAGTATCCACAAATGCGGACAACAGGACTACATCAAGAAGAATGAAGTATAAGGTCAAGTAAACCCAAAATGTGATGTCCTCATATGAGGACACAGGGTCTCAGGAGGATATCACCCCATATCACGAATATGTCTCAGAGAGCTTTATAGTGTGCGCACAACGTTAGCCACCCTCTAGCCTTGGACCCTCAATTTGAAAAAAGGAAGATAAAGAAATCAAACAAAACTTCACTGTAAAAAGAGAAAACTACAAAGAAGGGATACTACTTTGAGGACGGACTTGAAATAGGCGTCTTAGTGAAGTATTGTACAGTATGGACAGAAAAAAGAGAGGCAGAAACACACTATGGAGAAACACAATAACAATATTAAGTAAATAAAGTTTAAATATCATATTACAGAAAAATAAAGTGCAGTAACTTAGTTTCTTTCTTTTTGATGATAAATTCAACACTTTTATCAGTCTTGGGATGTAGAAACACCATAAAGCTGAGGCTTTTTAGGGGAATGCTCTCTTGTGATATTTCATCATGTTACATTTTGAATCAGGAATCTCTAATGAACAAAACAGATTTTGAGGTTGTGAATGAGCATATGCTGACAGTCGTCACCAGTGAAATGCTGCTGGTGTTTCAGTTTTCTCTGAAGCACATTACTATAAGCAGATTATATCGAATAATTGCTACATGAAAATATTCACAAGTGTATACAGGGAGGTTAATTGTAAGCACATTTGACATGCATGCTTTCTGTTACCCTACACATAGACAAAATACCCATAATCAGTGTGTGCTTCTGTGATATCCTCCATCTGCCACATATTTCTAGTTACAAATAACGTTTTTTTCGAGGGAAAAATACGCCGTGAGACAGACGAGCACACCACAATTTTATCACCACAGTCCGAAATGTAACGCTTGTGTAATGCATGTCCTCCAGTCCTCCGATAAAACGTTAGCTTTGATTTAACACGTTATTTTAAAGCGAACTCACCTTACGCACACAGATGTACCGCAATCAAAACAGCATCGTAGAGGTATAATTTTAATGCTGCGTTCACGTGTAGCTCGGGAATTCAAAACTCTAACGTCCACGCTCTACTACACCTGTCCCTATTGGATATAATTATTTGTAACAGAAAAATGAACCAAGCAATACAAGTATTTGTTGTCTTCTGATGACGCAACACATCGCTATACATGTTTAAGTCTATCTAAGACCTCTCTTTAAGTCTATTTAGGATTTTCAAGGATTATAGCTAACTAAATATGTTATTTATTTACTTTTTAAAGCAGAAAGTTTGAGATATAACATCTTTACATGCGACAGCCTGCATTAAATTCGTATTTTCTCTTGGGTATCCGAAAGCAGTCATATTTATTAAAACCACAGCACGGTTTTATCGTTTTTACAATATTCCTGAGAGTATTTGAAGGCATCGTTAGTTGCGCACCGTTTCGACTGCTCCTATTGGTCAATCCCCCACCGCGCCCACTTATGACGACATCAAATCTCGCCAGGCTCTTCCGGGTGTATTCACTGCTTTCAGATCCTCAAAGTAAACACAGTAGTTTTATTAGCAGTCCTCAGTTGTACACCGATGTGGTGCTCCACCGTGAAAGCCGCAAACCCCTCAGATATGACAGAGTTTTGTTTCCGGTTACATGCTAACGCGCGATGCTAACGTTAGCTTACTAAACTTGTGAGCAGCCTGGAGTTGTGGTGGAGTTTCTTCAGGTGAGCAGACGGAGGTGAGGGGGAGGAGATGGGCTCTGTCCGCTGGGCTTTCCGGTGCGGCTCGTGGACACCGAGCAGGTCTGACTGGCTGTTTGCTGCTCGCTGTGTCCAGCAGGAGGAGAAAGACAGAATCGGACAGTTTGTGTTTGCTAAGGATGCTAAGTCAGCCATGGTGAGTCTGACTGAAAGTTAACTTCACTTGACACCCAGCACAGCGTGTCAAATTAAGATATTTATGTGTAATACACTGTCTGTCTGTGTCTCTGTTACCACATCAGGCTGGCAGGTTGATGCTGAGGAGGTTTGTGTGTGAGAGGATGGGGATCCCCTGGTCAGAGATCAGACTGGAGCGATCACCCAGAGGGAAACCTTACCTGGCAACACCACTGAAGGTCCATACCATGATGTGTTTCTTTAATCTAAAGTGTTTATGTAAAGAATAAAACCATAAAGTTATGTGGGCTTGAACAAAGTTTGGATGCACAGCTTGAGTTTGCCCACCAGTGGCTCAGTGGTCATTGTCAAAAGACAGAGATAAAGTCCTTTAATTTACTAGTTGATGACTTATATGACAGTATTTTAGATGGGTTGTCACCAGAACAGGTACTTTGCACATATGGGGTCTTACAGCACACACACAGAAAAGCAAAAACAAATGGAAGGAGAGACACACACAGCTATAAAACAATCCTAACACTAATGATAGCATAACATCACCATTATTATTGCACCTATAGCAAAAAAAAATGTAGTAGTTCTTTGATGGCCATGATTTTTGTCCTATAATTTTGTCTTGCTGTTTGCGTTTAGGTCAGTCCAAATTCAGGCCCCGAACCCCCGTCCTGGAGTTTCAACCTGTCCCACCAGGGGGACTACACTGTGCTTGCTGCAGAGCAGGGGCTGCAGGTGGGAGTGGATATCATGAAGACCACTATGCCAGGTAAATACTGAGAGTAACAGGTGAAGCAGAATTAACAGTATCAGCCAAGATGGGTGCATACATTGAGATCTGCACACTGCCACACACAGATAAGGACAATGGAGGATGAATGATTTCCTCCACAATCTTTAGTTGTAATTGGCTGTTCCTATTCTTCAGGTAATGTTGTTGCCACCTCCTGCAATGCAGGAGTTTCTAACATTCAAACATGCCTGGATTAAAGTAATGATGTTGAAGATTGCCATGTAAATGTAGATCAGTTAAGTCACTATCTACTGTTGAATTAGGCAGCACAATGTTAGTTTGAGCCCACTCATGTATTGCAACATTTATATATTTGCACTCTGGGAAAAGATGCAGTATTAAGTTACTCCTAATGCAAAGGGAATATTTCCTACAGCTGCAGCTTCACATTTAAAGCATTTAACTGCTGAGTCACGAGTTGACTTTTATTATGAAGTAATCCCAAGATAAGAAATGCAATATAAGCATAGCACTCACCACATTTGTTCATCAAGAAATGCATTAACAAACAAGACAGTTACCATTTTGGTCATTTGTTGACAGTAGATTAGGATAAACTGTATTTATTACCACCAAATCAACCAGGTCTGAAATCTTAAACACTGCCACTTTAATCATGATGCTACTGTCTGAATCATGGCAATAACTTAAAGGTCAAACTACCAAATTTTGTGTCAGTTGTACCTCACATTTTTGATAATTAATCTATGGCAGCCAGATCTGTAAACACAGTGTGTATTCTTGTATTCTCCAAGTCGACCACAAGAGGCCACTGTTGCCTTGTATATGTAAAGGTCTAAGCCAAGCCTGCCTGTGTGTGTGCAGATGTTTGGATTTCTGTGTGTGTGCGTCACAGTTGCATTCTCATCTGTGATGTTTTTGAGACACACTGATCTCAGAAATGGAGTATGTTTGGATAACCTTGGGATCGCTTGTTTCCATCTCTGTCGTACATCCCTCACCTCATTTTGCTTTCCCTCCGTCTCTGTCTCCTTCCCTTCCCTTCTGTCTTTGTATCCATCCTCCTTCCTCTCTCCTCCTCCTCCTCCTCCTCCTCCTCCCCCATCTTTGGCCCTCACACCTCCCCTCCCCTCCCTCCTCCTCTGCCTCCAGGTAGCAGCTCTGTGCCTGAGTTTTTCCGCATCATGACTCGTCAGTTTACAGAGTACGAGTGGAGCGTCATCCAATCAGCTGGTTCGGAGCAACAGCAGCTTGCCGCGTTCTACCGCCACTGGGTAACCATGGCAACCATACTACCTTGTCGTCACATTGCATTGGTGCTGGCCCCAGGGGCGGCATGGAGCCTGTGTGTGTGTGTGTGTGTGTGTGTGTGTGTGTGTGTGTGTGTGAGAGAGAGAGAGAGAGAGAGAAAGAAACAGAGAGAAAATAATATTGGCTCATTTTGTCCTTCTCTATCTCTGCATTTCATCCTCACTGATACACAAAAGTCCTTTCTTTCTTCCCCCTCTCTCAGTTTTTGTTCTTTCTTTCCCTTGTGTATTTTCTTTCTTATAGACACACACACACACACACAGATGGACAGCGACAGAAATGGTGTTGCTAAGTAAAGATGTTGTGAGATTGAGAGGGTGGCACAGAGACGTCAAGCTCTGATATCATCGCCACACTGTTGACTAATGGCAGAGTTCGACCGTTGCCATAGCAATTAGCCTTGTAATACTGTTATTGTGGTTCATTGGCTGCCGAGCAGGGTTGGTTTTGGCCGAACGCACACACACGCCGCTCTTTTGTATACACACTGTTGTTCATGTGTGCATAGATTCCCATCTGCTGTGGTCTTAAGTTATTGTGCTGCTGAGCCAAAATACACCACAGCACACACACAAACACACAGAATCACAGAAAGACTGTCCTCAGTTTTGTCAGCCATACAAATATCCTTTATTTTCCTTATGTGCTGATCATTTTCTGCGTGTCACTGATCAAGTTTCCTCCCTTGTCTACTAAGGCCTTGAAGGAGAGCTTCATCAAAGCCATCGGCACGGGTCTGGGCTTCAACCTGCAGAGGGTGGAGTTTCATCTGTCCTCTGAACCGCTCACACAGAAATGTGTGCTGCGCCAGACCAAGATGCATCTAGATGAGGAAGAAGAGGAGGACTGGACATTTGAAGTGAGTCTGTTTGAAGACAGGTGTGAAGAGTCAGAAGGGCCAAAAATCTACCCTATCACGATTTCTAAAAAGCTAGACATTGTGTGTCACATGACAGGTTTCAAAGAAAACAGACTGAAGTAAGGTTCAAGACTGCTTTAATTCTCGGATTTAAAAAAAAGGGTATACAAATATTCCAAAGAGATCACTGACACGACACCATATCCCAACAGGCTGTGTTGTGTTTGCAGCAGCCTGCAGTGTTTTATACAGATCAGTTGCCAGATGGTTATCTCTTACCACCTTATTTCCTGTGACTTCCACTAATGTCATAGCTCGTTTAAGATTCTGTAGATTTTAGTCACATTTTCTGTTAATTTGGCTCCTTCTCACCGTACATTGTACATGGACGAGAAAAGCTTTCCTCAAGCGAAATGTTGATTTGAGCACAAATTAAAGGAATAGTTAAGCATTTTAGGAAACATGCTCAATTGCTCTTTTTTTAAAGAATAAGATGAGAAGAAATGTAGAAATGTACCATTCTTATATATGTCTGTTCAACATGATGCCAAAACAAGGAGGCCATTAGCTTACCTTAGCATACAGACCTGAAACAGGTGTCCAGAGGTGATAACATCTGCCTTCCAGCACCTTAAATCTAACTAATTAACACATCATATCTCATTTGAGTGGTCTCGGCTGGTCTCAACTGGTTGCCTGGCAACCTCACGGTTACAAGTCACTGCGCCCAGCCATGATATAGTCCCACACCAGTGCTTAGGTTTCGTTATAACACTGGGGGAACACGTATGAAACAGGGGTTTGGGGATCCTCCACCAAAAATATTTGGCGCATCAAACACTTGATTTCCTGCATTCTGGCAAATTTCTATGCACTAATTTGTGCTTTTTCTGCATCAGTTGACATTGAATTTCACAAAATTAAACATATTTACACCATCATCTGCTACTTTAATGATTTTACTAGGGGTGGACAAATGCACGTTTTAAATACATGGAGGGGGTGTGTCCCCTTGTCCACCCTCTTTCCAAAATCCGCACCTGTGCCCTCACATAACCACAACATGTCATTTCTACAGTCCCCTTGGCGAGAAAGTTTGAACAAAAATGGACAAAATGTTGAACTATTCCCAGGAAAAAAAAAAATTTCTACTGGCAAATGTCAAATTTTAGTATAGTATCATCTGATGTGTAGGCAAAAATGATTTTACATAATCATATTGGAGAATTTTTTAACAGCACTTGCTTCCAAATGTAAAGATATATTGTCAGGTTGAATACCATAGCTGGGCTTTCTATGATAAGGAAAAATTAGTTTGATAAATATGACTTAGTTTGTTCTTATTAGTAGTCTTGTGTAACATTTGTAGAACCCGTTTCATGCAGCCTTTTGGAAATCAGTTATCTTAAAAGCAGCTGTGCCGTGGGGTCCTCCATGCTCTGATCCCCAGTGGCTCCCCGCCTTGAAAGCATCAGCAAAGAGAATCACAGGTGGTCTTGCAGAGAAATACACACAACTGTGATTGTGATTGTGACAGGGGGGCTCTCAAGTGGCCCTCCAGCCCTCCTAACACCGTGACAAGAGTCTGCGGAGTGCAGCTCTCTGTCACAGTCGAAGAATCATCTGTTGCCATCTATTTCCTATTTCACCTCCTCTTTTCTGCTCTTCTACCCCTCTTCTTGCCTCACCTCTGTTCCCCGTCCTCTCCACTTCTCCCTTTGACGTTGTCTCTTCTCTTTCTTTCCTCACCTTCTGTCTTCATTTTGATGCACCCCCCAGTATGTATTTTTCCTCTCTACTCCCCCTCCCCCCCTCCTCCTCTTGCTCTCTCCTCCATGCCCAGTGGCAGCAGGATTAACAAGTGACTGCTAAAAGGTTACCACTGGTTTGAAAAGCCTAGTGTTACGTCTCCTCCCCTCTCCATCCCTCTCGGATTTATGGAAGCTTAATGCTGTTTTTGTGTCCTCACACCGGGGAAAAACACCTCACTTATATCAATCACAGATACATGTTAATGCACATGTCCTTTTTTAAATTACAGACAGTAAGGCAAAGTGAAGTCACAGCAGCAAACAGGATGTAGAATTTCTTCAGGTATAGAGGATGAAGACATACAAGTTGTAACAAGAATTAGTGAAGCAAAGAGAAATGTAGAGAAAAGAGGATGCTATTATTTTACTCTAACATGAAACACTCCCCAGGCTGTTGGTTTGGGCAAAACATCTGAAGACATTACATTTAGGTGTGTTTGGGTTGATATTTTTAGACCATTTCTATTTATAATGACAAAAGCCATAATTTGCAGCCAAAATTCCCCATAAATACCAGTTTTACCGTATTATACATAAAAAGTTCACTTCGACAACATCCATATAACTGAGCAAAAGTCAAAGAGTTTAATGAATGCACATATCAATCAGCCACAGCATCAAAAACACTGACAGGTGAAGTGAAGAAGATTGATCATCTCATTACAATGCAGTAGTCTGCTGGGAAACCTCGGGGCCTGGCTTCATGTGAATGCCTGTTACCTCTCTCAGTGACGGCTTCCCAGCTCCAAACAGTAGTTGGGAACACGCTGGCTTATTAACATGAAATTAGCTTGGCTCATTATTAGCTGGTAACTAGCTGCGGGTGCTGTTCACCAACAATGGCTTTATTGCAATCTTCACCACAAAACAAGAAACATGGCCTTCTCATGAGGTTGAACAGTAGCCCTGAGCTTATCTTGACACCATTAATTCGGCTGACTGTCATCACTCTTTGCCGCCAGCTGTCTCCACCATGATAGTTGGAGAGAGCTGTCACACCCTCACAGGTTACCAACAAGGCCACCGTCCTTAAAGCGGAAAAAGGGTGAGCTGGCAACACAATGCTGACGCTTATTTTCACCAGAAAAAACAGGCTTAAAACCTTTTTAACAAAATGTACTTACTGGAAAAACTGAACACCTGACTCCTTAGAGGGTCTTTTACAACCAAAGGCTGAACAAGACTTTTTGAGGCAACCAAAACGTTACAATTAACTTTAATGAACTGAAAACTCACTGAAATGAAGTACACGTCACACCCTCACAGGTTACCCACAAGGCCACCGCCCTGAAAGGGAAAAAAAGGGTGAGCCGAAACGCTCCACCCACCCAAACGCTGTTGCAGACCAAGTATACCCCATCATGCCTCCCCAACCTCCACCGCAAAATCTCTGTAATGGTTTTTGGGTGGGTGGTGCATGTAAAGTAGCATCCACATGAATGCCAGGACCCAAGATTTCTCAGCAGAACACTGGACTCTAACGAGATGGTCAATTTTATGTACTTCACCTGTCAGTGGTTTTAATGTTGTCGCTGGTCAGTGTATATTCTTGCCATCTATGGAGTAACTTAAAGCTGTTGGCAAAATTAGAGAATAAAAGGTAGAATTGTGTGTGGTATTATTGAAACACTAGTATGGTTGGAAAAATATTGAAGTAAATAACTACAGAATGCCCCAGTTGACGTCATTAATTAAGATTGGCAATGACAAATACACCAATTCCTTCAATTTGCTTTCAACTCAACAGTAATAAACTTTATTTTTGCATCACAATCTATGCATAAAAAGACAAAATAAGCTAATATTAGACTCCAAAATAAAATAAAGTTATGTAAATGAGTGTACAAAACAAAATATCATATATAAGATGTTTAATCCTGTAAAAAGACACGTATTCATCACGTACAGGCATTCTAGACTCCGAGGAGCTGCTCCTCTCTCTGTACGTCCTCAAGAACAGCAACACTCATCATCATTTGTGATCAGCGAATGATTGCAGTGACCCCGAGAGGTCAAACGAACTCAAACTGAATCGATTTTGTTCGGATTTGTCTCATATACAAATAGACACACTCAGAGCTCTAAGTGTTAACAGAGATGAGAGGAGCGGCAGTGCTACTGACCTCGTGTCCTCTGGCTCACTGTATGCTGATTGGTTAGATCACAGAGCATCTATGAGACTTATTACTTCCTGCTGACCTCTGGTGATGTCACCGCTGCGGCCTCTCAAGAGAAACTGAGGGACACGATTACACACAGTGAACACAGACTGTGACAAAGTGTTTACATTTAAAGTTAAGTTCGTGGTGATATTTCTCTCCCCTTTCCCTTTTCCGTTAAGCTGCTTTCTATGCTTCTTTTACTCCCTGTCTACACACACATACACACCAACACTTGTTACTGCCATGCCATTAATGTCCAAGCATATTTGGAGTAGAAGTTACAGAGTGGACAAAATTCCAAATGCATGTGAATATAGCATCCAATAACATCATTAGCATGTTTCATGTTTAAGTAAATAAGCCAACAGGGAGAATCAAATCTGCATAGATTCACATAAGCGAGGCTGGAAAACTGAATCTGATTTTGCCACACGTATTAATCATACATGCCATAGAATGGATTCATATCTTCGAGCTAGGCATTTACATTTTTCAGTGAATGCATGTATGCTGGATGTTTCCTTGTGTTACCGGCTCTGTTATTGCTCGAGAAGCGATGTGTGACCTGTGAATGCAGCGGTTATCTTACTCGCTCCTCATAGAAATCATGCAAACAAATGCTAAATATTTACATGACGCATGCAGGGTGAGTGTGGACGTCTGATAAGGATGCACATGTTCATTATTTGTCATGTGGTATCTGCTCTATTTTATGTAGTATTTATAAGTACTTGCTCTGAATGTGAATGAGTGTAAAGGCGATCTTTTAGTATGATATGCGGGCTATATATATGCATATGTGGTAACATGTACATGTGTGTGTTTCTGCAGGAGAGCTTGCTGGATGCTGACCATCACGTTGCTGTAGCACTGGGACCATCCAACACAGCAGGCGCTGCAGTAAGGATACATGACATTTACAGCTGCTCTCATAGAGAATGATTTTTCTCAGGATGTGTGATTAAAGGGACATTTTTAGAAGTTATTGAAATGTTTCATTAGCAGCTGTAACACTACATAGTTCTCTGTGCGTCTCTAAAACCCGGAAGAAGACATGCTCAAAGAGTAACTTGACATCAGGCTGCGTTTACTGCTTTCTCTGGTAAAGAGTTTCAAGTCTGTTGTACCTGTAACCACACCCAACAGTGATGTCACAGTGTACTGACACACTGTGGAATACACTGGTACATCACTGCAAAAAATGAAATCACTGGTGGCAGGGATGTTGCTAGGTAGGGGTGTAAATCACCAGCTTCATCACAATACGATATTATATCGATTTGTTTGGATGACGATACGATGTTTGCCAATATCACAAAGTCTGTCACTATACGATTTTGATTTGATTCGATTCAGGAGCCTGCAATCGATATGACGCGATATCATATGCCCATCTAACACAATCATTAACATCAACTCACAAAAACAACTAGAATATGATTTGACCATTTTGTTTCTGAGCTCTGTTTGTTGTTTGAGCGGAGGCGCGCTTGTTCAGAAATGGTGACACAGACGTGCTATGTGAATTTCAAAATAAATGTGTATCTTTAAGATGACGATATGGATCGATGTTTTCATTTTGCATCGATATAATCGGATCGTTAATCAATGATTCGATGTATCGATGTGGATCGATGTATCATTACACCCGTATTGCTAGGCATGTGTCCTGTGCAGTAAAATCTGAAAAGACACAGTAAATTCACTATCGATGTGTCCGTGGGATGCACCCTATTTTCCCAGATAATGCTACACGGTGAAAAACAAATCTGCGTTGAAATCATAGAAACAATGGTGTCATGTGACTTAACTTGACTTAATTTTGTAAGTACAGTATTTCTAATGTCACAGAGGCCACTGAGAGTGAAACATATGTTTGGATGTTTGTCATTCCATCGGTGATGTATTAGCGTTTTTGTTCAAGTGCACTGCAGAAATCTGACACCTATAAGACCCCTCGCCCATCCTTATCCCTTGCGATCTGCGCACCAAGGCGGTACTTTCAGTGGCACAGCACAGAGGTCCCCAGGGACCTGCCAGTAAACAGAATCCTTATATTTTAGGAACCTTAAATGTACCCAAATTCACGTATGTTTAGGATATTACTACGGACATTCCTGTAATCTTAGGATGTATTCATACTGGCGCTATTTTGTCCACTTCAAATGAACCCTGGTCCGCTTCCATGGATAGTTCGGTTTGTTTGGAGTGGTGTGAACGCCCATTCGAACTCTGGTGCAAACCCTGGTCCACTTGAAAACTGGGGGTCTCAGTTCACTTGCAATTGAACTTTGGTGCGGTTCGCTTACAGTGGGAAATGCAAACGGACTATCCAGCGAACCAAAGAGAGGAAGTGAACCAAAGAGAGGAAGAGCATAAAGCATAGTGCATTTTGGATAGAAAAGAACAAAGCCAACAGCGGAGAAGCAGAAGTAAAAAAAAAAATAAGAAGAAGAAGAAGAAAAAGTTGGAAAATGTCTCGTGGTCAGACATGGAGTAGTGAGGAGGTGCAGGTGCTTATTGATATATGGTCAGAGGACTACATATGGCAGTCGCTTGTGGCCAATCGATGAGCCAGGTTTTCTTCTTCCTTGTGCTTTCTTTCTTCCTGGTCAGTGGTCGTTTCAGGCAGTACCACTTCTAAACGAGCAGCTGTTCTAACTGTGTGATATTGTCAAGGCGGTTTGGTCCACTTTACAAAGTGCAGTGTGAAAGTGAACCATACCAAATGAAGGGTGAATTTTTTCGGCATTCCCTGCTCAATCGAACCGAGTCCCCTGGACTATCCTGGTGTGAATACACCCTGTCAACACAGTGCCTGCTATAACAGCAGATGCTGTTTTCACTCATGTTACAATACGATGTGATATGATTCAGGAGTTCACTCAGGAGCTGCACAGATATTGCTGCTTTACAATAACAGTCCAGAAGAAATGAGGCATACACCATAAAAACATTAAAAAAACAGAACAGTATTGCACATCAGCCATTCATGCGTCACACATAACACTATGTTGTTGGTGCTTTACCGTCCAAGGGACGCGCCATGTCTTTCTCCCCTGATAATGCCACTCTGTAATAATGTGATTGTGCCACTGATCGATTCTGTAATGACTCGTGTCCATGATGACCTGATGATGCTTTACTATCCAGGGGATGCACTTTGTTGAAAAACTATTTTAAACGAGCTATATGTAAGAAATCTAAAGCAAATAGTCGTAAAATCCTCCTAATATGTCACAGAGACTAAGGAATAATGTTCATATAACATACTGATCTCACCGACAACAATAGGACAGCCAGAATATTCGCATTTAAAAAACGTTTTTACAGTTCGCAAATCATGTTTATGTTTTGAATTTGTGTTTTGGCCTGTTGCGCCACCCACCGCCGTCTACCAGTCACGCAGTCAGTAGAGTCTCAGCATCAGTTACAGTTACGACTGAGCTACAGCAGCACGGCAAGCAGCATTAGCAGTGTCCCGGTACATAGCATTAGCAGCCGGCTCCTGCTCAGCTGTATCCCGGCAGCAGCCTTAGCAGCAGAGAAGCCGGACTTGCTCGAACGGTCCGCTGGAAAACCGAAGATTAAGGACGCGGTGACACGGCCCTGCCACGGCAGCCATCCGTGGACAAACAAATCAGTCTCCAGCGTGCCGCTGTCCAGCAACCTCAAATCTGTAGGGGAGGGGGGGCGGACACGACTCGCGGCAGTATTTTGAATTTGAGTGCAGTAACCGTTTTGGCCACATTCTTACATACAGCGCCTTTAATCTNGTAGGGGAGGGGGGGCGGACACGACTCGCGGCAGTATTTTGAATTTGAGTGCAGTAACCGTTTTGGCCACATTCTTACATACAGCGCCTTTAATCTGCGACTGTCATTTTCCGTATCTCTGCTTTATCCCATGTTGTTCATAGTCTCCATTAATGAAAGGAAAACATAAAAACTATTCTCAGAAAGAAAGAGAAGAAACATTTTTATCAAAATGTTTAACAATTACATTTATACAGTAGCTTCATTTCATTTTTATGGATTATCATGTAATATCACATTTGATTTACTTGATAGTGGGTAGATGATTTCGATGTTGTCTATAATCCCCTCAAGATGTGACATTTGTCTTCCATTACTAATCTTTAGTTGCTGCTCTATTAGAAACTCCACTCTATTTCAGTCATTATAGACTCTTCTTGTTCTTTCTTCTCAGCCTCTCCGTCCATCTCTTCCTCCTCCCACCTCATTTACGCTGCTGTCGTTCACCGACCTCATCGCCTCGGCCTCACCTCTGACAGAGGAAGACCCCGCCTGCTGGGACGGTTTCAAGATAAAGGCTGAAGCTCCACAGAGACAAAGAGAAACGCACACGTCCAAATAAACACCTGTCTAACACTGACACTCTCCTTCCACACACACACACCTTTCATAACTGTCGACAAAGAGACACTGACACTGAAGCTGCTTTCTTATTCAACACAAGTCCAGTCAAGTCAAGTTTATTTATAGAACCAAAGATCACAGGTTTGTCTCAGAGGACTTCAGAATCCATACAGCATATGAGACCTCTGATCTTTAGAGCCTCGGTTCAGATGAAGAAAAACTTCACACAAAAAACCTCTACATACTGGATACACACACACACGCATGATTACAATGCAGTACATGCAAACATTTAATGTCGGTCAATAGATTGATCTTGTGAATTGTATTAACTTCCTGTGTAATTTCAGAATACACGTTGTCCAAGATTCTGCATTGAGCTCCTATTTATTGATCCTTGTATAACCAACAGCCATCAAACAACACATTTGACTGAAAGAAATCTGCAATATGCCGTGTACATGATGTATAATATGTAATATACTCATTCATAACTAATTCACAGGCTGTTTCAGAGATGAATAGATGATAGTTAATTGACCATATTTACTTTGTTTTAGTCGAATCCCTGTGTGGATCTGATCAAATTAAGAGTTAGACTAAGGGACAATGTCTGCGCAGGGTGTTAATGACAGAAACATTTTTTACTTGAGGAAATAATTCTGTCACCGTCTCTGACTCTCTGTGCAATGCAGAGCAACATATAAAGATTTTGATAAACAATGTACACGTATATTTGTGATCTTTTCAGTCTTGCTCTCGCTCTCCTTTCTGGGTCCTGTCGCCTTCTAGACTTTGGCCCAATTCCAATCCGGCCCCTAAAGACTCAAGCCCTGAACCCTCACTGACTTAACTGACGTTAGCTGTAAGTGATTGAGTGTGAGAGTCTGAAAGGGCTCTGGATGCTACAAATAGGAATGGGACAGCACTTATCCCCCTCTCTACAAAATGTTGTTAACATTGGCGGCTCTGGGCGTGATCATTTATCGGTTATTGTCATCATATATTCCACACACAAAGAATATCTATCTATCTATCTATCTATCTATCTATCTATCTATCTATCTATCTATCTATCTATCTGACTCGACGATTTGACAATGGGACAGCCCTGACACACTCACGCACTTCACATGAACGCGCCTCTAAGTCAGTGAGTCTGTAAGGGATCGGATTGGAATTGGGCCATAGTCAGCTACATGTGCACAGAGCTCGGTAATAATTAGGGATCAAGCCTCAAGAGGGCAGAGCATAATTGAGTTTATTGCTATTGTTCGTTGTCTTCTGGCATGACTCAAATTTTGGTGAGCTGGAATGAGCTAGAAACATGAAACTTGGCTGTAATTAAAGCTCAAAAACGCCCCTCACATTGTAGCTGAGATTGACTTGGAGTTTGGAACAGATATGCTGCTCAATGTGCCCTACAAAAAGTCTCTTGGACATTAAAGTCCACCATGATGAATTCTGTGGTAATTTGCATAATATAAAAAATGAATAGACTTTTGCGACTCTCATTTCCACTGTAAATGAGCAAGACTGGTCAAAAAACATGGCCACCATCAATAAATATTTCTGACTCTCTCGCATACATTCATTTTCTCCTTCCTGTCTTCCTCCTTATCGCCTCCATTTTAATTGAGGACATTTAGTCATCCATCATGTCCTCTGTCTCTTTGTCTTCGCAGTTCACCTCTGCTCCACCCTTCTTCTCTCTTAAGGACAGCTCCTAGGTCTGGTGTCAGTCTGCTTGGTTAACCCTCCCTTCTGCATGGCATTACTGATATCACAACTTATAATCATGAGCTTTCTTCCCTGCACACACACACAAGCAAATGACAAATAAGAGGTCAAGTTACGAGTATGTGCAGTTGGGTACGTGCCATGTGCCATGTTTGTGACTTGACACATCTCCCCTGCTCACCCCCTGAGGTGAACAGATAAACAGATACAGGTGAACAGATACATAAACACACAGAGTGGCTGCTGCAGAGCGTTCGTCTTGTTACAGTGATTATTTTAGAGTAATGGCTGCATAGTGAAACCCAGAAGTTGTCTACCAAAACTAAAACTACATTATTGTGTATTATGTTTCTGACAGAGGAATATACAATTGTCTGAACTGCCATGACCTCACAGACATGACCCTGACACTTGACTTCATCTGGGTTTTGAGTAGCATAGACATGAGATGTTATGGATCTGCTATCTGACCCCACGACCTGCACACCTTCTGCTCATCTTTGTGCCTCCTTTCTTGATTTCTTCCACCTTCCTTTTATCCTTTTGTTGTTGTTGCTGTTACTACAACCTCACCATTCACTGTGCTCCTGTAACCTCAGCCTACTGGGAGAATTACAGGGGAATTATGGGAAATGATGATATGGTAACCTGCTGTCTGGCTTCACGGAGGTCCTCTGTGTTTGAATATGAGACACACTCACACACAAATGAAGACAGTATGTCAGAGAAAAAAGTGCAGTCTTTCAAGTGGATGTAGTTGAGCATGTGCATGCACGTGTGTATGCTGTGTGTGAAAGAAATAGAGCTTGAAAACACACACATGCAGTCATTGCCTCCAGCTGGAGTGAATTAGTTTGCCTCCTCGCCATCTTAAATCTTGTGTTCTTTGCAGCAGTGAAGGAGGAGAGAGAAGCAGCGGGGTCAGACTGGAGTCACAGAGGCTTTCCTCTGAGAGAGGCCATTTTTAGTTGCCTCAGGTTTACTGGCGTGTCAGAGAAGAGGCTTTTTTTTTCTCAATGTGGGATGGAGACGAGAGTGCTCTGAGCATCAGACTGAGAATTTATCCCGAGGAAAGACATGAGACCTGGCTCAGCCTGCTGCTGAGGATAAGAGTAAAGTTTCTCCCTTGGAGGAGGAGGAGGAGGAGGGCATCCTGTGCCACATTTGAACTTTCATGGGAGCACTTTTAAAATTAGATTCCTTTTCAAAGTTGCATAAATGTTTTTGAAGCCCCTGCTTTACAGCTATTATTTCAAAGAGGGACACAGTTTTTGCACCAGCAGAGCCTGGTGTGTTTTATTTATTTATTTTTGACAGTTACAGCCCTAACAGATGCTTTGTGTTTGAATTAATTTCTGAATTTATTTTACATAATGTTAATTAAACAAGGAAACTATGTAAAATAAAGTGGATAAAAGATAAAGTGAAAAGGTCTGATTGTAGCAATCTGTTTGATAAGCTGAGCAGGTACAGTATCCATGGTAGAGACATGGCTTTAGGATGGCAAAGCCTTTCTGGCAGATAAACGAGACAAGCAATACCACTCTCATTACCCACCTTAAATATGAGGCAATCAACATAGATGGGGACACAGAGGACATGTCCCCCCTCCCCATTTGTCACCTTTGGACAGAGCCAGGCTAGCTGTTTCTCCTGCTAAGCTAAGCTAACCAGTTGCTGGCTATGTCCTTGTATTTCATAGACGCTTGTGAAAGGTGTATGATCTTCTCGTCTAGCTGCTGTTTGGTCATGGACTTTCCATGTCCACATTCGACGTGCAAGGTACCCTGGGTGCGTTGATTGTTGACGTACTGGGACACGGTGACAAGTTCTGCCTGTTACATGCATAGTCTTGGGGTTTGTTGGACCCATCCAACACCCCTCCCGCCTGCCACGTTACCCCCACGTTGCCGCCCACCACCACTATAACGGCAACCAGCCATGTGTCATGTCGACATTAAAGGATGCCTTTTTTGTTGGTTTCTGATGCTGCAAGTCACTGCCCAAGCACCAAATTTCGACGATTTTGAAGTGAGACTGGGCTCACTGAGCATGTTAGCATATCCAAAAAGCATTTAGCTCAAAGCACTGCTAGTTTACTTAAGTATATTAGCAGGAGGCCCTCAGTTATATTTGATTTCCAACTCTTGTTTAGGAAAGGGAGGGTGTTAAATATGCCCAGTTGTCAGGTTTAACATTGTTTCTTAAACCACTGAAGTTGAAAAACAAGTTTTAAGCTGAAGCCTGAAGTGCTGGAAAACAGTCAAAGATTTTTCTTCTTCTCCTTCTTCTTCTTCTTTTTGCGTATGGATAGTTGATTCTTTGGGAGTGGGATTCTACTTTGATGTAGCTGGCAGCTTGGAGTCAGCAAAGAGTAGGTTGATGTTACCCAGAGTGAAGCTTTCGTTTTTCATAAGCGATGAATAAATAAAAAATTGATCACAAAAAAAAAAAAAGCTTTCATTTTTCAGTCCAAGCTCTGAGGTTCATGTTTCCTTAGATATGAAACAGTGTCATTGCTGCTGATGAAGGAGGCTGCATTCTGTGTGCCACTGAAATAAGTTATAATTCTGGATCACTTAGGCTGTTTACATGTCAATCTTTGAGTTTATATTTTTCATGCTCTGTAATGTTTCATTTCTGACATTGTGCATCCTAGAATAAACCCAGCGGTTTCCAGTGCAAAATGCTTTGAAGGAGCCTTAAAAGAACACATCGATTATAAGTAGCATCCAGAAATAAATTCAACCCTACCAGATTTTTATATGAAATAACAGGTAAGAGTCTGGTAAGGGTGAATGTCATAAATCAGAGTCAGATGGGTAAACACAAGAGACATGCATCACTAAAATCACATTAGCACCAGTCATGGCCCTTTGTCATGCATCTCTGGTTCATTAATCAGACCATGTTCATCCACGAGCATCTAGCAAGAACATTTAGATCCTGTTTGATTAGACTTTGTTTTGTATTGGGTTTTTTTTGGTTTGTGCATGCATATGTCTTCAGTCAAAAAGGAGTATCACTATTTATTTTTCATCTGCTTTGAGACATGCTTTGTGCAGCCCAATGTGTAATTAGAAAGCTATGCCACATTTGACAGTCAAAACACACACACTCACTCACACACACACACACACACACACACACACACACACACATACACTCAGGGCAGATACGCAATACCTGCAGAACCCAATCAGAAACAGTAGCACACTTGTTGGCCTCCTCTGATCAAAGATGCATCCATTGTGTCTGCTGCAGGACTAGATGACTGTTTATTTGTGTATGCTCTATGTGCTGAGTGTTGTGTGTATGCGTGTGTTTAAAGCAGGGTTGGTATGGGCAGAGAATCACAGTGGATATTGTTAAGGTGCTTAGTTTATCCATTTCTTTCCTCTCAGGTTAATTATATAGTACCTTACTTTGTTGATAAATCTGTGTTGCATACAATTTTTGAAGTATTTGTTTATAAAGATATTGTTATCTTTGTTTTCAGTTTGTATTTTGATGACAGGCTCTGTCGGCATGTGAATACATATCATGTCCACTGACTGATAGGGGTGTCATAGTATAGTATGCTATAATTAAAAAAAAAAAAAGTCACATAAAAACAATTTGATTTCTTGTAGTTACTTTTTTTTGTCTGTTTGTTTTTTAACACGGAAGGTAAAAGAAAAAGACGAAAGAAAAAGTTTGGCAGGTGAAATATTTTTCTTTGCTGGCATTATTTCTCTAAAAATTTGTCTCAGACCTTCTGTATATGCGCATAAAAATGTCACAAGACTGTCATTTTATATTCATATTAAAAAATGTCATGAAAAAGTCATATAGTGTTACATGCCACACGTTTGTGTTTTCTGTTTGTATTCTATTTTCTCTGGAGTGATTAGACAGTATATATTGAAAATGTAATATTATACTGTCATGACAAATGTCATGAAAAGTTATAACATAATATGACACAAATATAAAGAAGTCACAG